TGGCGGACCCGCGGCACGCCACCTTCGTAGCAACGGGTCGGACACTGAAGCGGTATCCTCTGTTCGTGAATCTTCTGCCAGGCTATCGTAGTTGTTCTCCATGCCTACTGGAGAGGCCAGAGGAGGGAGAGAGGCCTGCTAGCAGCAACGACGAAGTGACGTCTCACTCAGTTGTGGGGGAGTTGTTTTTGGTAACGGAATCTATGAAGAAGTGGTTGGATGTCCTTGAAGACGTGGCGATGGGTGTTTATACCACGAGTGAGGTCGACATCCTGCCCCTGGACAATGCGCCGACGGTGGAGCGTGTGCTGCGCATAGGGAAAGGCGAACCGGTAAAGGCGCTGGCGTATTTCCGTAGAAAGGATTACCCAGACAATTGGGATAGCCCAACCCCAACGACCAGCACAAGACTCATGGAGAGGTTTTCAGCAGCAGAGTGCCTCCGCGAGTACGGTTCACGCTTTCATGGGTGCCCGGCTCACTTGCGTTGCGCGGCGGAGTTGCGGGAAAATCTCATCAAGGCCGGATGCCCGTGTATTGGGGCGTGCGGTGTGCCCATCCACCCAAAACCCATTATACTGTTTATTATTGATGGCGTGGGCGACGCGACGTACGCGGAGCTCGGCTACCGCACGCCGCTGGAGGTGGTAGGCGGTGTGCCCCCGCGTGTGCTCCCTGGTGGCGAGCGGGCGGTGGAAGCCCCGTGCAACATTGATGCGTACGTGACTCCCGGCATCAACGTGGTTGCGCAGAACGGCGTGAGCGGCTTAATGGACGTGGTCGAGGCGGGTGTAAGCTGCGGCAGTGACACCGCACACCTCGCCTTGTTTGGGTACCCGCCAGCGCAGTACTACACGGGCCGTGGAGCGTATGAAACACTCGGGGCAGGCCTGATGTTGGACGACACAGACATAGCCTTTAAGAGCAATTTTGCTGTGATCGATGAGGATACAGGGATCGTGACGCACCGCCGCTGCGACCGCGACTTCACGCGTGAAGGACCACTGCTCTGCGAGTACTTGAACGGCACAACAATTACTGGTGACGAGGAGGGCGAATTCGAAGTGGTGCATACACTGAAGGTTCAGTACGCCACAGAGCACCGCTGCGGTGTCGCCATCACGGGGAAAGGGCTCTCGCACTTCATTACAGGAACCGACCCGCTCAGCGACGGCCGTCCACTGCTGCACTGCATGCCGACGGTGCCGCCTGACCATGTTGAATACTTGGCAGCACTCTACACATGCCGCGTGGTGAACGCAGCGTCAAAGCGCATCAGTATGTCACTGCGTCACCACCCGATCAATGAAGAGCGACGACGGGAAGGGAAGCGAGCTGCCAACGTCGTGCTTCTGCGTGGGGCCGCTAAAAAAGGGTGGGTGCCACCGTTCGTCGTGCGCCACGGACTGCCAGGGTTCATCGTCGCCCCTACCTGCATCATCCGCGGTCTGGCGATTTGCTGCGGCCTCAAGGCACTACTTGCCGAAGGGGCAACAGGCGACTATCACTCGGATGTAAACGCCAAGGTTGACACGACACTACGGGAGCTCGGCCTACTTCCCGGTGTCAAGGCAAGCAAAGACATAGGGCCGGACCACTCCATCTTAGCTGTGATCCACGTTAAGGGTGTCGACGACGCTGGCCATGACAGAAGCCTTGAGAAGAAGCTGATGATGCTGCAGAGGTGTGGCGAGGCGATGCAGCGTTTGTGGGACGCCCTCCCGGACGGCGCCACGATGGCGGTGCTGGCGGATCACTCTACACCTATTTCCCTGGGTGATCACAGCTGTGAGCCCGTCCCTGTTTCTGTCGCAACGAAGGGGAGCGGCTTTCACGATGGTGTGGCGTATTACAGCGAGATTGAGAGCGGTCTTGGGGCGCTTGGGAGGTTTCGTGGAGAAGAGTTGCTAGGCATCGTAAAGCGTGCTCACCACTGGTACCACTACAGCCCAGGGGGTGTGGCGGGTGGTGGCGACGGTGAGGGTCAGTAAGTGAGAGAGTTTACAATCTAATGCAGCGACGGCCGCGTTTCTGTGTATGTGGAAGTGTGCATGCATTGCGCGAGTGAGTGCCCTGTGTGTCTGACGGGGAAGGGCCGCTTTCCACCTTTTTTTCCTGCTTCTTCCCCCTTGTAGTGTTAAAAACGAAGGAAAGGGAAAGTGTAACTATAGACAGAGCAAAAAAAAAAAAGGGCGGGCGTGTCTAAGGATAAAACAACAACAAGGCCAACGAAGAAACAAGAACAAGTACGAACCATCACACTCAGTTCGCAAAAAAAGATCACGTCATATTACAAACCTCGCCTGGTTTTTTTTTTTTTTATCAGTTGATTTTACCTTGCGTTAATTATTTAGGCCTTCTTATCAGTTTCAGTTGGTGCGCCACCATTCGGTATGGATGAGACAGACAACGCGGTGGGCCGTATGGGTTTGCCCCTGAGAGACTTCCGAGGAGCCGCCGAGGCCCGCCACGATGCTCTGCGCCGGCGCGATGGCTCAGAGAGCACGCAGCTCCAGAGGAAGAAGAACGACTTGCTGCGGTGGCTAGCCGACATCAGCGCCGCGCAGGGCGACACCACGCCGGAGGATATCGAACGTGAGGAGCTCGTGGCGTTCTTCAAGGGGCTCTCACGGCAGGTGTCGCCGCGAACGAGATGCGCGGGCACGCTCTCCGGCGTCGTGACGATGCAGCTTGGTGGTGAGGAGGAGGAGGGGGAGTGCGGTAAAGCGAGCCTCGCCATGCAGGCGTCGCTGCTGAGCCCCGCGAGCGTCCCCGCAGGAAAGACGCTATGGGAGTCGCCCTCAAGCGCACCACACACCGCCCGTTCATCGCAGCATGGCGGCGCCACCGCATCGAGGCTGAGCTGCGGTGCGGTGATGAGCGGCACGAGTGGCTACTCGCCGGCGCGGGGCCCGCAGCAGCAGCAGCAACAGTCGCCAATGCTCGGCGCTGTGCTAGAGCGAGGCAGCACGTATCCCACGCTCGACGGAAATGGCAGCAGTAACAGCAACAACAACATTGGGAGCGGCAGATGCGACAGAAGGAGCGCACCTGAGCTGCTACTGTTGTCCCCAACACCGTTGATGTTGACTCCCGCACCCGTTGCGCTGTGTCTGACGCCGTTGGAACGGTCGGGCAACACCGGCGACGCGACAACATACGTGGAGAGCAGCTACGCCACACCACCGCGCCAGCGCATTCCACCGGCAAACACTCGCTTCGGACGCCCGCCGTCCACGCCACACCGTGAGAGATGCCGTCAATACGCCACTCCAGTGGACGGCAGCAGCAGTAGCGGCGTCGTAGATGCAACGAACGGTTCACTCCAGCTGCTGAAACTCAGCCACCCACCAAAGCTGTGCCCCCCGTACGCCGCACGACTGCTTGATCGCGCAACGGAGCGATACGTAGCAGCAGCACCAATGACCACGAGAGCAACGGCTACCACAACACCAGCAACAACAGTAAAACACGGTGACCAATGTCATTCCGCTGGTGAAAACAGCTTCAATGATGACGGGACCTCACATCAACCTAAACAGCAATGAATAGGTGCGGCGCAAGCTCTTTCACAGGTGCCTTTCGCTCCTTGTGTCACTAAAGTTTGTCCCCGCCCTTGATTGATCATAACTCACCTCCTCACCCCCCCCTCTTTGCTTCCACAACATGGGCAGTGGATAGAAGAATGAGAACCAATACAGTGATCGAGTTTCAGTGGAATGATCCTCACTGTTCTCCTTGGATTGGCGTTGCTTTTTCCCATTTTGTTTCCCTCTCTTTACTGTTCTTGCTGTTTTATTTCTATTCCTTCCTTTTTTTTTTCCTTCTTCCCTGATTCTCCCTCGTGTCGTCTTGTATTACTGTATGCATATTGGTTTTGTCGTCTCCTATCTTATTTGACGTGTTCTCTCCGACTACTCCATTGTTTGCTTGTTTGCTGTGCGTGTGTTTTCTTCACAGTTCTGCGAGTTGTGTTCGTTTTCACGTTCGTTTGTCTCCACGCCCCCGTGACCACCGCTGCGGGTGGGGGTGGGGGGCCAGGCGCAGCGGCAGCGCTTGGCGGGACCAAGGCGGGTGGGGGGCACGGAAGGTGGGGC